CGAAGAGGGGAGCCCTCGATAATCACAGCATTATATGTCATGTTGAATTTTGTCTGCTGCACAGGCCTGATATGAATATTTTGAGTTGTGTTTGTATTACAAAAGGCTCTTTATGCATTCAAAAAATGTTTAATGTACAACAAATCTTACTGCCAGCTTTACATTACAGGTCTTTATATAGCCAAGCCCATCAATGTAACATCTGACAGATGTTTCTTTGTAAGACAATGGTAAAACCCTTCAAATCCACCATGAAGGAAGTCATAGGAACTTCTAAAGCAGTCAGTAATCTTGTTCAAATTGTTGCTTTTGTTCCTTCTCTTATTATTTGGACCCTATAAATATTGAGCAGAAATTGTCCTGTGTTGTCACAGCTGGGAAATAAACTGTCAATATGTTCTTTCATTTCTGAAAAGCTGTTTGTTGCTGTCTGTCTATGGAGAAGATCAGTGTTTGTGGATTAGATGTAGATCTGTTATGTGGTACTAGACATGTATGAAATGTTAAATTTAGAATAGTGGTATTAAAATCCATCATGGTGGCAGTATAGCAAATGTCAAAAAACATCTAGGAATATACAATATGTTATTTGATTAAATCATAGAGAATTTCATCAACTGCTGAAGTTTGCACACACAAACACAGAAATTTGTGCTGTTCCAAGTTTTTTGTTAAATCACCAACGCTGTCACTGGTGAACAATGTTACGCAGCCATGAAAACAAACACCAACAAAAGTAAACAGCAAATTATTTACAGTACAGTGAGTCACACAACTCTGCAACACTCTGTGTCACACTTTCTTTCTCTTCTTGCTGCATGGTTTTTGTAAGGTAAAGACATTAAACCATTATATATCTTTTCTTTTTTTCAAAAACAAACTTGAACCCTGGAGTGCCTTACCCATCTGGAAATAGTAGAGGACTTGTCTAAAAGGTAAAGATGATATGAATTGCTTCTGGCAACTCAAATGTCCTGTCTGGGATCGATTACATAGACAGGATTCACAGAGAGAGAGAGAGAGAGAGAAGAGGGGAGCCCAGATTCTGTATCATGGTTGGGTCCAGCATGTAGGCACGTAGCCCACAAATGGTACACCCACGCACAAACACTGTCATTAGACAAACTGCTCTGTGACCTGCAGCTCGTGTGCACAGGTCCAACTGTCTGGTTATGGATTGGCTGAGGCTGCATGCTGCTGTATTCCCTCCCCACTCGCACAGTGCCTTTAACAAGCAACTGATGGCAGTTCCAGCTGCTCTGCCATGTGGGTTAGGGCAAGGATTTCTACTGGAACCAACAAAATAAGCTGCTTGTCTCTTTTACAACTTTCATAGCGTAGATAAATGTCATACACATTTTAATTATTCAATTTTAAGGATTATTTCAGGGTTTTATGTTCAAAATCTAAGTTAGTCTAACATCTCTGTACCCAGAATTCACATGCTTCAGCACCATGAAACATCTGTTCAGCAGTCTCAACGAAATGCATTGTGGGGTGCTTAAAACAGGGGGAGGAGGGTCATAAAGGAATGAATATGAACAACACAAAGTAAAAACAGACAGCACAACCAAGAGGGGAGAATGGGAGAAAGACAAAAGGATTTAATTGGATCCAGTCTGTTTTGCGCTCGCACTGTATCAAAGGGCTGCCATATGTATGGCTACACTCACTGTGTCTGTTGGAGACTTGCACAGGCAGGGCCAGGCATTCTTGGCTATACAGTACTAAAGGTTACAGGCAACGCCTCTAGTCCCCATAACCTTTATTATGGTCAAGCTTCAATTCCCAAATACTGCAGGACCTCATATGACCCCTTCACTGGCAGGGCCTGCTCTGTGTCTCCCATTACCTTTACAAAGGCAAATGTACATAGCTGCAACTGGTCGGATGTGACACATCATTGTATAGTTATATTTTAATTTATGGACCTCTTACATGTAGTACTAGGGTATTCGTTAATATGAGTTCAGTCATAAAACAAAGTTATACTCACAGAGCGTTAATCTGCTGTCTGTCATTACCCAAAGAAGTCTTTCTTCACACCTGCCTTTGGAGGACAGAATAATGTTTATACTGTAGTCACATTAAAACATGGTGTGGAATTGTGAGGGGTAGTGAGCATGATTAAAATTCATCAGAGCAACTCTACTGCCATCTACTGTCTGCACTTGTTTTCAACAGTTAAAAATGAGCACATTTTCTGTTGTGTTGTGGGGCTTCATGCTGGAACTTGAGCAGGAGGACATTAGTATAGACAAAAGGTCTAGAACAGGCAGTTTTGTCCAAACCTGCAGTGACAGAAAACAACCTGGCCTTCCTCTGATTTCTGCTTTGTGTTAGAGTTGCTGCTAAGCAACTGATAATCACAGCATTATATGTCATGTTGAATTTTGTCTGCACTGCCTGCCATGTCCTGTATTTGACGTGCACGTACTGTATCAATTCTTTTCTGTGTTACTGCCTTGTTTGTAATATATTGTATGCATAAATTGGTGCACAGCCTTGTCAGCAGCAGCAACTATCATTATATTATGAATGAAATTCACCATGAAAAAAATATTCTTCCTGTATTAAATTGGGCAACTCAAACATCACAGCAATTTTTGTGCCAAATTCTTGTCAGTGAAAAACTGCTCAGTGTCCATCACTGCCCGATTTAGCTCTGCCTCCTCTTTTTCTGAGCGGTTTGTTGTTTCTATGTCTGCTGGCCGCGATCCATCGAATACTGGCATGATCTCAAAGTAATGGCAAGAGGAAAACATGATTGTTGCTGACTTTGCCCATCTGGGAATCCACCTGTTGGCTATACTGGTCCTGTGCATCAGGGTCTGCACCAGCAGCCACGGCAACCAGCAGCAAGCCAACTGCTCCCCCCAGTTACAGTTACCCACCCCACCAAAAACACACACATGCCACCGCCAGACTGGCAAACTGATTGAACAAACAAACAAATCTGCACATGTTGCTTTTTCTTAGGTTATTCAGGCTAGCTATCAAAGTCAGTCACTGAGGACTCATCAACACCTTGTTTTGTGCTTCACTGCATCCTCAAGCTGACCCTTTTCTGTTTAACTATTTAGGATTATGACTGATAATCACAGCATTATATGTCATGTTGAATTTTGTCTGCGCTGCCTGCCATGTCCTGTATCTGACGTGCATGCACTGTATCAGTTCTTTTCTGTGTTACTGCCTTGTTTGTAATATATTGTATGCATAAATTGGTGCACAGCCTTGTCAGCAGCAGCAACTATCATTATATTATGAATGAAATTCAGCATGAAAAAACATTTTACCATTTCAGTATTGTGCATAAACATATGAATTTTACAAATAATGGTTTCATTTATGTGAATGAATATGAGAAAACCGCCTAAAGATGTATGATATGTTTGCACAAGGGCACAGACCAGAGCACAAGCTATTGTTTGCCTAGTAAAGGATGTTCTCAGATAGACTCTGTTTCCACCCAGGAAAACAATGGTAGAGATTGTAGGTGAGGGACTTGACTTTCTACATTGCTACACACAATAGCAGGGATAGTGTTTGTCACCACGGAAACCATTAGTTTCTTGGCAACATTCATATCCTCTCTAGCTGACTCTAAACTCAAATCTAATAATGGGATTCCAGTGGTCGACTGAAAGAAGAATGTTAGCAAGTGAAGTGCCGGTAAAGGCTTCGACAGCATGGAAAGCACAGGTGAGGGAAGAATAATGATGAGGCAAACAAAACTTTTTCTTTCTTAGTTGCTGCCTAATGCGTTTGCACAGCCTTCTATAGCAGCAGTTGACAGGTGGCTGTCTGGAGACAGAAACCAGACATTTAGCCTAGAATCCTCTCATCTGTATTATACAGGCAGTGTGACAGGGCTAACATGAATCTCCATCACTAAATATCAGCCTGTTAAAATAAAATAACATTACTGGCATGCAGCAGTAGCTGAGCCACAAGTAGTTTATTCACATTAGTAATTCACCCACTCAGACTGACCTCTGTGCCGCTCAAGCAAATGCATTTTTTAATTAGTCATTTGTAAGTAACTGTTCAGCCTAAGGAGATGAGGGCTGATCCTCCCAACTACCACTGCTGTCACCTACTAGTAGTCGGTGTAGTAAATGGTTGGAGTCAACACATTAAAAGCCTGTGCATTTAAAAATCCATGCCTTTTGTCATCATCATTACTATCACAAATTTATTTTTGCTTCTATTCTTTTTTATTTGCATAAAATGTTGTAGATGTCCTCTCTTAAACACATCTCCCAGCTTATTTCTTCCCTGTAGCACCATCACATTCCCTAAGGGTAAACCAATTTACATTCTTGTTTTGCTCTTCAGATCCATGCCAGTTTCCATGACAACATAGTTTCACTTTCTCGTCCTCTCTGTCTCACTCTCTCTATCTCTCTCCTTTCTCTCTCATGTTCTCTCATTCCCCACTGCTTCTTTCTTGTTCTCTTGACCTTCCTCCAATGTTTCATTTTCTTTCTCTCCAAACACTGGCATCCAAATTTGTCCTCTCCTCTTATTTCCTTATTTAATTGAGTTCATTCCTCTGCTTGCCATATATACCAGCAGAGAACAATGGACTCAGATAAAACATATAGTAGCATCTCAGGGGGGGGGGGCAGTGCAATAGCATTCACAGCATCTTTTTGTATTTTTTTTTAAATCATAATTTACAAATGCAGGATACTCTGTCTGCAGGCTATTTTATTCACTCTTAAATATCCCCTGGCTGGTCTGTTTGGCAGGAGTGATGCCTAGAGCCTAAAATCAGTGAATCAAAACAATGTGCAGCAGAGTATCCTTTCCTCTAATTAGAAAAATACACTTCTGTGGCAATTAGCATGTCTATACAATAGCATATAGCACTCGAGAAGAAGAAAGAGCAATGACAAAGGCGAGCTGCCTCTAGCAAAGAACCATATATGTTTCCATATTCTTTAATTTCATAATTTGAACAAAAAATTGTTTTCATCCTAAATCCATCCTAAGCTTATTTTCACTCTCCTTTGGAATATAATGACAGGATAATGTCTAGAGCACATCTCAACCAAATGGCATAATTGAAATCAGACGCTATTTAAGTATACAATGATTAAAATGTGTCATGCCAACAGGTGTGATGGCGCTTCCTTTCTGCTTTGTCTGGAAGGAGAAGGTCATGCACAAGGTGGTCGGTCTTCCGCATGACTTGGACCATCCTGTCAGCTCTCGGTTCATGTCTGTGGGTAAGGGAGTCACAGCAAGTCACTTCTGTGGTTTGTGATTATTTTTCACTGCTTCATGCTGAATCCACTGCAGATTCGTGTTGTCTTCCTCTCCTTTTCAATATATCACAGGTTTCAAACTTGTACTGTAATGTGTCCTTCCTAATATTCAACTGGTTGTGTCATGAAACAAACCAGAGTAGGGCTTCTACTTCATTTTTTCAGCACAAAAAAAGTGGGTGGCCTAGAAACCTACATCACCGGTTAGAGAAGCAACTGTTGTAGGTGTAAATTGCTGCAGCAGTGGAAACATCTGAATAAGTGTATAAGATGCGCTCTCCAGATCTCATGTTCCCTTGATTATGGAAATTACCAGTTACTTTGGTGGAGTTACATACGCTGCAGCCAGCATGAAGTTATAGTTGTTTTATGCTGTTCCTACTTTATGTGTATTTAACTGTATAAATGGAAACACATGCTGTGCTCTGCCAGCCTTTCCTAAATAGCAGATTGCATGAAATGTGTGACTTAAACTCCCACCTCAAGTCAGTATATTTGCAAGAAATTTCTTGATCCCAAGTTCACTTGAGGGTATGTTTCCACTGCCATTACTTCTGCTACCCAGACCACCAGAGGGAGTATTCATCTGAAAAAAGGTGACAGTGCAACAACTGGATCTTCACTCTGAGTAACTTTATGATGGTTCCCATACACAATAAGTGTCTGAGCTCCGTTTACTACCTTTGATTTATTTCTACTTGGAGTTTGAAAACACAAGGTCATCTACTGCAGGATGAGTAATGTGATCAGAGATAGAATGGGCGATTTGCTATATTCACTGCTGTAATCAGATTAAAATAAAACTATCGCAAATTTGATTGTTTCATTTTCCCAGGTTTAAAAAAAGGCAGTTATTGTGTATTTTAAACACGCAAGATTAAACTTAATTTCAGAATGTTCCATAATCTGAAATAAATAAAAATGTGTGTATAATGTGTATAAATGTATGGTCTCATAGAAGAACGCGGAAACAGTCCGACTTTCAGTGATCAACAAAGGTCCAGTAGATGTTAACATATCCATACAATGACATACGGATGCCCGTGTGGCCACACTAATTATTGTCAGCGGCTGGGGGTGATATGGACTCGCAGAGAAATGCATCGTCCTGCCCTTCTACATCTTGAATAGTGGGAGTCAGTCATGAACCGCTGCAAGGTGACGCGTCCTCTGATTTCAACCGAAACTTCAGCCTAGACGCGCCGTGTTATTTATCACCATCTGAACCTCGGTCCAACAGTACCCGCTCCTTCCTTATCTAACATCAGGATCGGGACCATCTTGCGCAGTGGTACAGTGAACGGAGCAAGCGGTGACAGCGGCGGCCACTCCGGGGAATGTCGACTGGCCGTCAGTCCTGACATCGGCCTCTTCTGATCACATACACCAGCCGAATGGGGTAGAGTACACTGCATTTCAAAACACTGTTGCTGCCGAAGTATGCTAGCTGTGCGTTAAGCTGCCTCGTTTGTGTGTGGAGTCCTGTAACTTTCTCTTCTTTTTATGAAGTCTTCGGGTCGCTAGCGAACCAATAACAAAGTTCCAATCCCGTTAACTAGCACTGGCTCGCCTGCAGATGTGTGCTACGGCAACGTCAGCTTTCAGGCGAGTAGCCTAGCGGAGACATGAATTAGCATGCTAAGTTAGCCCGCGGACCTGGCTGGCGCAGCAAGTCTCCACTCATAGGCGCTGGGGTTCACATCAGGGGCATGTGTCCTTAAATTCTCCTAACAAGAATGCGGTGCTTGCGCAACTTCGTGTTTTAACGTTCTCAGCCAGCCGATAAGAGCGTTTCAACCCATATGTGTAAATGACTAATATTAGCTTGTCAGCTAGCTAATCTGACACTCAGCCAAAGCAGCATTTGAATGGTTTTGTGCTAAGCAGCTAAACCGTGTTCAGTAGGTGACAGCTGCATAACGATACCTGTCAGCGTGGGCGTCGCATGTGGCGACCAACATGTCGTCTGAACTGCCACTGTTTGACACCGTCTTCCACTTTACTGTTACCATAATGTAGAAAAATGACATGTATGTAATTTCCAAGTATTTTATTTCTATCTAAATTCCGCTGTGATTCAGTTACACACAGACAAAGCGTAGCCTACTGTGACACCTAAAACACTGTGCTGGTTAAACTTAGGTGTCAGATTTAATATGTTGGTACCACTATTAGAATTTAAATTTATATTGGTTTTATAGGTAAATACTGCCATACAGCTTGTCAAATGTGGTGGCATTAATGTTTACACAAAGTTCTCCTCTCACACACCCCTTTTCCTCTCTCTCTCTCTCTGTGTGTGTGTGTGTGTGTGTGTGTGTGGTCTTAGTCCACTAAACCTGTGATAATAACCATGGCCCTGCTAGCTGAGTCTGCTAAATATTCTGTGATAATGCTGCACTTGAACCAGCATTTCTCTTTTTGGTACACAACCCTTCCATTTGTGCACAGGCGCTTCATGCACTATGTAGCTACAATATCCTGGTGAGCTATATATAGCACCTAACAGAGTTTGCAACTTGATCTGAATTGTCTTTCAGGGCTACAGTACACACACTGTGTGTTGCTTTCCACTAGAAGTGAAATGTGTCCTTGGTGTCTCAGTTCGGAGCATCTTTTTGGGATTTCTTTAAAAGGGCGCTGACTACTTGTGGTCCTTCCTTCAAGCCCGTTTTAATTTGTGCCCTTGGTGTTGTGTTCTTAGGGCAACTGTACATGAGTTTGTAGTGGATAATGATGGAATTTTGTATGAGACAATTAATCTAGCATGTGCAGGCTTAGTAGATCAAACATTAATTAGTTTTTAAGTCTATCCACCTCTCAGCACTTGACAAACCTCACTGATGTTGAGCTTACTGTGCACACTTCTGTACACTTGGTTTAGACAAACAAATGACAGGTGATCATACAGTCTTCCCGTAAAACCAAGACAGTGAATGTATCTACAATATAATTGTACAGCTTAGCAAAATGTAGGCTTGCATGTATTGATTGACTTGCTCGAGGTGTGACTGAAAAGTCTATTTTCTGCCTCTTATGTTTTGTCCAGAGCTGGTTTGAAGGAATAAACGTCAGCCGATGCATTTTCTTATCGACTGCTCCTGTGTGAGCAGAGACAGATTTGGCGAGCTGCTGACATAGTGTTTCTTATCTGGTTAGGTGATCTGAGAACTTTGGGGTGAGTTACAGGGAGCACTGTTAAGGTGAGCTATGAAAGAATAATGTGATATTGAGAACAGTTCCACATGACAGAATATACTAAGACTCTGTAGGCCTAGTGAAAAAAGTAAAGGCTCAGTCTATAATCCCGAAATGGAAAGCATCTTTTATGAGTCTTTGTATTATGGCACCCTTTTGCATAATTTTGCATAGATTTTTTATTTTGTGGACAGAAGTACTTTGTCCAGACTGACTCTCAGCGTTTAAAATGTCATTTATACCTTTAGACTCACAGGTCTACTCAGAGCAGTGTGTTCAAGCTCTTCACTCAGGTGAGAATGGTGCTGTTTGAACTCAGGTGTGCACCAGATAATCACACTGAGACCCTGTGGGCATGCAGCTCTTGGTTGCTTTCCAAGCAAACTGTGGTGAGAATGTAATGTGAACCGACTACAGGATTTAATCCTCAGATACTGCACACAGTTTCATGGCTGCAAGAAGACAGATGTTTGCCGTTGTTAGCACTTGTGAACCGTATTCTTGGAAAACCTCATGTAATAAATTAAGTGTGAGTGGATGCTTGAATTAGGGCATTTCTCCATGCTTTCCAAGCTGATGTGAACAATAGAAGATGTATGCGTTAATAACAGCCAAGGCTCTCGTACATAGTGACGGCTATGGGAAGAGGAATCTTGATATGTTTAGGCTCCTGACAAGTTGTTGTTGTATCCAGTAAATTAGATACTTGTGGGTCTGTGTGACTTTTGTGTCTCAGTTTGAAAGTTGTCATTGCTAAACCAAATATAGGAAATGCATCAGAGTTAACTGATACAAAACCAGCTGTAGGTGTGATTAGTGAGCAATGAGCTCATGTTCCTCCTCTAGCAGGAGGCCTGACTTCTGATCAGAGCTAATGTTCATCACGGTATATTAACAATGTTACAAACATTGTAATTTATCCAAGGATCCATTATTAGAGAATGCAGTTGCCTGTCAACACCAAAGGATTGTGGGAGCTGAATGTTGTTGGAGAATCACTAACCATGTTTAATTTATGCCTTGAGTGTGGAAAATTGCCAAGTGACTTCCTGGCATGTGGCTGCAGAACTTTAGTTGTTTGATTTCTACAAACGGATGTATGAAGTATTTTATCTAGGGTCTCATGGAGCTCACTGTGGCTTGTCTAAAGCTTTTGTAGTTGTGCTTTATTTACAATAGGTTTGTAGTAATAAAGTTTGTAAGACACTCTCACTATTTTACCTAACAAATACACCCTTAGAAAAGAGCTTTACTTTTAAATTAAGGGTGATTACATTACAAAGTGTATGTTAGAGCTGATGTTGTAAATCTGCCCACGGAGGACCACACTGATGATCTGGAGGTAGTTTTCCACCTTGTTTATATTCGTTCTAGTAATTACAAGTATACTTGTTTATTCCAGGCGAATTTTCAATTCAATTTTATTTGTATAGCACCAAATCACAACAAAAATCACCTCGCCGTACTTTACATAGTAAGGTCTAGATCTTATTATTATAGAGAAAAACCCAAACCCTCCTTGAGTAAGCACTTGGCGACAGTGGGGATTAAAAGCTCCCTTTAACGGAAGAAACCCCCGACAGGCCGTGGTTCTTGGTGGGCGGCCTTCTGCCTTGATCAGTTGGGGTGAGTGGATAGAGGAGAGAGAAAAGGAAAATAAAAGCAACAAGACCCAGCAACACAAGTCCTCTTGACTTTCTTTCATCTCTTTTTCATCCCACATTTCCCTCACCTTGCATCATTGCTTCAGCCGAGAACTCTCGCATCTTCTTCTTCTACTGCCTGTGCAGCTTGTTACTCATCATGACCAGATAAAAGTTACGTCCTTTGTGACGTTTCTCTCACTGTAGCGCTTCCTTCTATCCCACAGCGTGGCTAATTTTAGGACTGGTTGTTTTGGTTAAGGTCAGGTTATTTTTAGGCTGAAGCTTTAGCCACTGTTTATTATGGTTGGGTCAGTGTTGTTGTATTGAGAAGCTAATGTGTACAACCCCCAGTGCTCTACAGAGGAACAACTGTTATTCTACTTGGTTAATTCACCCAGTGTAATAAAACATATTGTTTGATAAGCCATGTGTTGTGTGCGTTCTTAATGATGCTGACCTCTGCCCTGTGGGGAAACCCAGGACACTGCATCTGGCTGGACAGACAGTCGTCCTCTCCTGAGCAGACTCGGGGTGGTTGTATGCTCAGCTTGACATTGAATGACTTCTGCCCTTCAGCCTTCCGTTTTCCAGCTTGCCTTTGTGCTGTAATGCCTGCCTTTTGTCTGCACTCAGGCTGCAGTTTGGGCTTTTTCCTTGCTGTACCTGGCTTTTTCCCAGAATGTGTTGAAGAGGATATAACCCTTGATCCTCTGTACAAAAGGAGCCCACTACATCCCAGTCTTGGAAAAACCACGAGCTACTTTAGGCGCCTACAGAATTCTTATAGCTTAATTTCCAGCCTGTATTTGTATGGAATAGCCAAGAAGTCCTGTGCCCACGTTTCCATGCTCTCAGTGACATTCCCACACTCCAGAGCTTGCCATTTTAAAGCACATATAAATCAGAGGTGGTCATGGCTTCACTGAATCAGCTCATCTTTTATCTGAAATATCCTTTTTCCTCCTCCGCTAACCTCACTACTTCTTGTGCGGTTCATGATGCTTTCCCTTGGTTTTAAAAAGAAAATTGCTTCTTAGGTCATCTCTTTTGTTGTGACTGCTCCGTGAGGCATGTTACATCAGAGACAGTGATGCTTTGAGACCTCTACCAATGTCTTTTTTCATAACCTTTCGTCTGTTGCAGGCCCTCATCTCTGCTCATCACCTACTGGTTAGCCTATATTTACTCAGCCTTGTGACATGTTTTGTTGCCAAAGCAACCTGCCACAGTCCCCCTAGTGTGCAGATTTTGTTTGGCTGTCACCTGTGTACTGTCCAGTGTGCTGCAGTTCAGCGAGTGCTATGAACAGAGTGGGAGCTGTGAGTGCAAAGAGAGGAGCTATGCAGACTTGTAAACAGACTGTGGATTAATTTCTCCTTAAAGTACAAATACCTTTTTGGTCAAAGGTTAAACGTGACACATTTTTGGACAAACTACATACTTTCTCATTTTGTTCAGATGGATGCTGACCTGCAGTAACCTTCTGTTATGCTTGTGGACTGATGCATTCCCACAAAACCAGGCTGCAGACAAACAAACTGCATGATGGGAGAAGAGAGCAAATGTGGGATTGAAGGAAATAAAATAATTAAAAAAAAAAAAGTCCTGACATGCACTGCTTTATAAAGTGTGAGGAACAGATATGGCTGTAGGTTTGAATGTTAACAGGCCGACTGGAGCGCTCTGACGGGAAAATGCCAGACATGCTGTATACGTTTTATTTTTTTAATTTATACAAGTTCCAGTTGTGTCCCGTTCTTGGTCCGGTCTCTGATGGCGCACAAACATACGTGTAGTCTTTTCTATACTTAAAAGTTACTAGTTTTGAATTGACTACTTCTGTGCAGGAAGCATGCACACTGGCTGCACCAGCACCAAACCCTCTCTCCAAGATGGGAAGTAGTTTTCAGTTCCTGATCTGGAATCAGATGCTACATTGTCAGACGTGGGTGGCTGGCCCGTTTCCAATTAAGTGACCTTTCAGTGGTCACATTGTTACGAGGCCCATGAGGGAAGCATTTTTCTGAAAACATTGTTTTTGATTCCAGCAGAAACATGCAAAACCTAACACTTCTTTTCGTCTAAAATCTGTTACTTTATTGGTGCTGGGACCAGTATTCACTCAAAATGTCCTGATGGCAGTCACTTGGAAGACGTTTTACATTA